TAAGCCAGAACGCCAAAGAGGAGGGGATTTGCTCTGCTCTGGCTATTTGCGCGTCGCTGGTCCTGAAGAGTGCCCCTCACGCCACGCAAATGTGCCTGATAAGCTGGTTGGCCGGCCGGATGGACCCTTCCATGACACCAAAAACCCTCGGAACCAGTCAGGACCCTGAAATTTCTGCGAGCAGGACACCATAATGGACGAAGGCGGCCAAGACGAGAAAAGGGAGACGCGCAGGACACGGCAAGTCCTCGACAAATCCTCCAGTCGCTGCCACTCGCGTATGCAAGTCTTGCAGTAGCCCCATGTTCCTCACCACATGGCTTGGCAGGCCACTGCGGTGCATGATTTCCCATCATAGTGATGTCCTGAACCCAGGTTATTTCACCCAGACGGCTGACTTGAGCACGGCTGCTGGTGAAGATAACCCACCCCGGTTCGGGGTAAAGTTATGGAAATGTCTCGGAGACCAAGCCTCCACCCATCCTTTGCACTTCATTGTAGCTACCCCCAGTATCGTCATGGTCTGCCAGAAACGGGGGATGGTGCTGCGATGCTGCTAACTGTACCCGCCTTGTGGTATATGGCGTTACTTGTTCGTTGTTCATGTCATTTGGCGGGTGGGTCACGATGCTGCCTACGTATTGTTAGGTGTTTACTTTTACTTGAACTCATTACAATACTTTACCACCGCAAGCATCCACACACTTGTAGCCAACTTATGACGCAAGGCCAGATGGGTCTCGTTACGATTAGTTATTTGGCCGCCAACTGTGTCGTACACCGAAGGGCCCATTAAAAACGGGGACTTATATGCATATAATAAAGCCTCTGCGCCTCGCCGCGCAAAACCGCGGTCCGCTATTTTGGGAGTTTGTCAGATCCAACGACACGATTCAAGATTGTACTTTTTTGGGCAGAGAATTTGTTGATCCAATGCTCACAGGGAAGAGAAAACAAAACTAAGGCATGGAACGAAAATAAGGCGTAAAGAGGGGTGCGAACTTGCAAACAAGATATGGGCCGTGCATGACAGCTTCGCGGCGTATGCCTTGGGGCGCCCCGCTCCAAGACGAACGCGGGTAAGTGACACCAAAAAACCCAGGTGGCAAATGGAGTCTCAGGTAGTGGAGGTGAGATCTCCAGGCCTAGTATTCATCAGCGAGCATCTGAGCCGGGAGATTTATCAATGTCTTTTTTGTGCCGTCATAGTCCTGTGGTATGGTGTCCATCGAGCCACTCGGATTCCAACTCAGACATCGCTCTCTTTCGGGCACCTTCCATACCACCAATACCACCCCTCTTCTACTAATTTCGAGTATTTCTTTGGCCAACCGGGGACTGGCATAGCGGGGGTCGTACAGTGCTGGACGTACACACATTTGACGGTGATAACTTCCCACGTAGCGGATGAACGTCGTTTTTCTGAAACGATAGGTAATGAGCAAAAGCCCACTGGCTACACCCTATAGTATCTCACACCCTTTCTGTAAACCTCATTCCTTAATTTCATCAAGCCGAGTTCTCAATGCTCACTTTCAGTTTCTCCTTGTGATAAGTCATAGGCTTTTCCGTCCAGGGACTAGAGGTGCAGCACTGTAGCACTTCAACTAGTCACAGTCTGTGCTTATTTCACCTGCCGAAGTCAGCACCAGCTTCGGGGCCTGAGGTGCGGGTCTCCCAACGTATTCCAGAATTGAAAGGTGACATCTTTGAATCCCCATATCAATTTCACCGCCGCCACAGTGAATAATCACAGGTAATCCCACTCCCTCCCCTAGGCGTTTGTGATCAGCCTGGTGCAGTTCCTTGCAGAGGAGGGATATTTACACCAGTGAGCCACGGAACATTTCATTTCGCCCTGTTGATACCTACGTAGCCAATATTTCACACAAAAAAAAAATCGTAGAGGTCCGGTACTCAGCCAAATACTATTTTGCTGTGTGGTGAATGCGCATCTTTTCCAAAGCCCCTGGGTTTTTTAAGTCATGCTAACGTGGTCCGAGACCGAGACCTGGGTTATAGCCAAGGTGATTACAGAAACCTCCATTTGACATGCAAGACCTTGTTTCCAAATGTTACGTATTGTAGGGTCGTTCGTGAGGGATCTTCTGCAGTCGGGGAGCTGGGCTTCCGATGTGGCCATGCCACAGTCGTGTTAGAGCCCAGCAAGATCCACGCAGGGCATTCAAACGATCCCGCCTCGTTCACTGAGGCCATTGTGCCATGGTCCCTCTTCAACTTTTGAAGATTCGCAAACATCAAACAAAACCCAGAGTACGGGGGTTTCGTGAAACACTTGAAACCAACAGTTCATTCGTTATGCGACCAGGTCAATTCTTCTGATCCAGGCCGACCCCAGCATCATTTTCAGATGATGGAGTCTCAATACAATTGACACGCCAATACTGGGATACATTTCCACAGTTGCATCAATACGTTCTCAGTGGTCCCTGCACCTTGACTCAAGACTCGATTGTTCATCAAACGCCGATCCTAAAGATGGGTTGCATCGCGCTCTCTTTTTAATTTTCCATGTTACAATAGATGAAGATATGCCTCCTGATGGTATAGGCCCTCCATAGTTAGCCAAACGCCGGTACTATGCGATGCTAAAGCACTTCCCTATGAGGTCTTTTGAGGAACGCGTGCCCCTGTGCATCAACTACGTCAACATCTTAACTATGCATCCACTCAACTCCTTGGTCACTCCCTACTAGGCGTTGCGGATCTCCCACTGAGCTCCCTCATCAACTTCGTGGGGGAGAGGATCTTTAGATGCCTCGGTTGAAAACAACCATGCCACCATCTCCCCCCTTGCCGTGAAACTCTTCTTCCAGTTTATCCGCACTGATTCTCTGCCTTGTAGGGAATGCTGCCAAGGCAAGTGGTAGTGCAATATAGCTCATACCCAAAATCAGACCCAAGTTGACGGGCGTTGTCAACCGCGGGTTCTTCTTCAACCACTCCGTCTTCTGCAGGCGCATCAAGATCAATGGTGGCACAACCATGATAGGACTGCTGTTCAGGACACGGCTAAGCGCCGTCTCACTGACAGCCAGCACGGCCGCCTTTTTGCTTTTGCCAAGGCTAGGGATGTCGTTCTCAGCCTTGCCATCCGCAGCCAGTCTAGCTTTGTCTGCCTCGGAGAGGACTGGGAACACATCGATTCCGGTTCGCATCTCCTCGCCGCGCATGAGGAACACGTTCAAGGCACCAGCGGAGGCGACGGCGGCGAAGGGGACCAGGCGGCCAAGCAGAGTGCGCGTGCTTGGGGAGAGACGCTTCAGGCGGGGAACGATCGAGTTCAAGCCAACGGCGACGGAGCAGGAAGCACCCACGGCGAGGCAGTACGACTGCGCGATCTTGCCCCAGGACAGAGGCGAAGACTTGTTGGCGTTGGAGAAGTTGATGGCAACGTTGAGGGACTGGTTAGCGACCTGCCAAGCGATGGTTCCTGTAGTCTGATGAGTAGAGATGAGGCTGTCAGCGCACATTCACACCACCAACCATGTCGGTGCCAAAATTGGGTAGTCGTTGGTTACATACCCCGAGACCAGGTGTAAGCATGCCGGCCGTAACAACTAAGTTCGACAAGACGAAGCAAGACATTCGGAAAGGTAGGAGCACCGGCTCGCCCGTATCTTGAAGCCCCATGGCACAGTCAGTCTCACCCATGTGGTTGTCAGACGCGTAGACGCAAGTATATGAACGCACCAGGGTGTAACGTAGAATCAACGATCTTCTTGGACCACCACAGTTCGGGAGTCATCTGCTGGATCTCCCCCTTCTTGTATGCGATCAACATGTTCTTTGCATCTTCGAGGCCTCGTTTGCCGACGAGTAGGGTCCTAATTGAATCGCACAAAGACATGAAATCAGCCTATGTTCACGAGTGCAGTTGCCCACGGTAAGATGTGGACACCGAGGCATTGGCCGTCACTTACCTTGGATCTGTAATGCCTGCAGTCTGTTGGACTCGGCCCCAGTACGTGCTGAGATCGTACTGGGACTCGGGCAGCTCCCGGTTACCTGGCAAAGAAGCAGACATGTTTGGCTGGCTCCTCTGACCTCGCTCGTAGGGAACGATGGCTCCCTCGTTGTCAATGGGTGCCGAAGAAGGGATGGAGAGTCGGGAAAACCAGCCAAAATGAGCCCCGGGAAGCTCGTCGTACAGCAAGATTCAAAGGTGAATTTTGGTTCAGTAGTTGCGACAGATCAGGCGGTCGCGATAAGGGTTCTCAATGGGCCGACAGCGGTGAAGATCCCCGAAATTTTAGGCGGGCCGGCTTCGCTGCTAAGGCTCACCTAGCTAACCCCACTATCCTATACCGAAAGCAAGCTTGGGAGCGCCTGGACACGGGTCAAGGCCCGGGGTGTCAAAGTAAAGAGGGCAATGAGGGACATGCGTAGTCTATCGAACTTGGAATCCGCGACTACTTCCGAAGCTCTCGGACAACGAGCCCGATGGCTGGAAATAGGAACAAGATGATTGGCAGTAAACCTGCTTGCGCAGTAGATATAAACATGTCTGTATGCGGGGTATACCAGAACAGCAGATGAGCCGGCTCCATTTTGGCGAGTCTAGTTACATAAGATTGGATACTGATTCAAGCTAGCTTATGGATATCCACGCCCAGAGCCGTTGTTTGCCGTTGGAGCAGTGCGGTCTCTCGTGCCCTTCAGACGACAAGAGAGAACTGAGGGCCAGGGGTTTAACTACTGTATAGGTAGTAGGGATGGGCCCACACATTCAGTGCTGAAACTCACCTCGTCGAACCTTCAGCCACAGGAAGTTCCAAGATGAAAGAACAAGACTCTGTTGTTGTATTACTTGCTAGGTTTTCAGCAAAAGAAATTGTATGTCTATAGTATGGACTGCGAACCATCATAGAAAAAAAAAAAAGGAAGAAGAAGAAGAAGAAAAAGAAAGAAAAAAAAACAGCCAAAGCTGTAAAGTACAAATATTAACAGTTAGGCTGACTGCGATTAAAAAAATCGACCGACCAATGCAGGATTCGAACCTGCAATCTTCAGAGGACTTCAACTCATCGCCGAAATCTGACGCGATACCATTTCGCCAATTGGCCCGATTATTTGATGAAATTTGGACCTCTTATTTTAGCCTATACTAGCTTTGTAAAAGTGGCGGCTTGTCTGCGCATTTTTAACTCGGAAACTTCCGTTAGAATCCACCTCTCAGCCAATACCAATTGTTAACAACCCGGTGCTGCTCTCTATATTTGCATCGCTTAAATATTCACGTAAACTTACGGAAAATCGTGACTGACAATGGCCTGCATACTTTCAAAGGTGAAGATGATTAATCAAATTTGGTAAAATGTTGGCCTTTTACAAATATGTAATCTTTCCTCAAATAAACCATTGGCGAGGAGGAGGCAATGAAAGCAAACATGATTTCCTTTTTGAAATTGTTTGAGTCGCTAGACTTTAACACGGTAACGCAGCGTCCATTAAACTATCTATGGTATGGGATAGCAAGATTCTTAGTACAAGACATAGGGCATAAAAAACTCTGCTCAATCAACAGAAATAGGCAGAATTCGATCGACACCCTTGATTGGCAGCTGTCTATTCCCAAGCAATGCTACGCCGTAAACGCCAGCCAGGGAGATTTCCTTGGTAACTATTTCGGTTGTGCCTGAAGATTTCCGCAGTATCTAACACCAGTTTGCAAATCATATAGCGAATATTTAGCCCTCGATCTAGATTGAGCATGGAGAACTAGTCTTGAGCCGAGGTGGAGAGCACGCATAATATAGCTCTGAGACTACATGATAGTAGCAATTGTTTCGGTTCCGTGACTAGAGAGGACAGCATTTCGTCAAGACGTCTACTGAGTGATACACTGAGCCATGGTAATTAATCTGTACTTTCTGACCAACCCCCGAGTTGAGTGTTAGTTTGCCGGCAACGGCACGTCAACGTCTCGACATTGATGTTCAAATATCAGCCGGTCCAAAAATATACGTGATCCCTGGTTTTCTGCACAAGCGAATCCTACACTGTGGGACTTTAGATGCATCTGGAAATCATCTTCTAGGAAATTCCAGATAAAATTGTATTCCTCTCCCTGAGTCGTCTTCTCTTTGCTCCCGAGGTTCTTGACGTATATTTCCATCAGAAGAGTGCGATATTCTCCAGTATCGAAGCTCTTAGAGTCATACAAGGGATCCATCCAGGGATCTATGAACTGATATGCCGGATCTTTCTTGTTGTAGGATAAAGATGACAGGCTGAAAATCTTGTCAATCAAAGCTGTGCCCACTCTGCACTTTCGAAGTTGGGGCTTAACCATGACATAAATCCTGGCAGAGTGTTTGCCTCTGCTGTAAACAGAGCCGACGATGCCACGACTAGCAACGTCCAGGCAGGCAAATCCAATGACTTTGTGGTTAGACTGCTCAACGGTGAAATTGGGGTTGCGGTATCCACTGAGAGCGACGATGAAGGGCATTCTTTCTCGCCGGCAGTTTTCAAGAACAATCTGCCAGTCCGCTGCATCTACGGGATTTTCATCCAGCGCACGCCAACCCTTGTACACCTCTTGATTGTATATGTCGGCAACTGCTTCCATATCATTCTTGTGAGCTGGTCGAAGATGAGCAGGCGTTCTGCAAAGGAACCTGTTTGTTTTCTGTTCTTGTGCTCGGATCAGGTCTGATTCTTGTTGGCCTATACTACGCCATTTCTCATCATTTCCCTTTCATTTGGTCCTCATATTTTTAGACTCGATATAGTAGTCCCTGCTCGACTGGAATGACGTCTGCGTGCTTATCTTTTGAAGCATTCGCAGAGAACCCCCATTCCTCCTGTCTATATGTTTGTGAGACCGAATAACCTTATCAAGTGGAAATATTCACCTACTAAGCATGGTTGGAGGATGAACAACTTCGGAGATTAAATGGCCAGTGGCCGGATCGACATCCTGTGTCTCATGAACTTCAACTCGACTGATTCCCTTATCGAAGTTATCGAGCAAGTCAGCTCTAACACAAGGTATAGATTCCCTCCAAAAGTTCACGTAACGGTGTAGAAAAGAAGGTATATGAAGTGATGTGTCTGAAGAATCACCACTTGACCGCACACTTGAAAAGTCTGCCTTACGGCACCGGCTACGACGAGGTGCATCCCAATCTTGTGCGTTAATGGTATGGTTGGGCTCTTTGCCCCGCGGGTCAGGAATATTGCGGCTAATATTCTTGCTTTCGAGACTTCTGGCTGTTGACTGGTGTCTTCTGGTATCTACTGTTGCAACTTGAGTCTTGCCTCTGCCATTGTTGAGTTCGTATTTCTGTAGGCATGTTCCCATTCCATAGGCGCTGTGATTGGCATAGGTTCAAACGAGGCATGTTGAGTAGTTTTGAGGTGTGCTGTCTTTGGTGAGGAGTTTCCAGTTGAAGAAGTTGCTCTGTAATCCAGCTCCGCATCATCTGGACTTTTCAGAGCACCTTCTGGAGACACTTGTTTCTGTTGTATTGGCCCGATATCCGGTGAGGAAGGGGTGAATGTGTTAGAGGCTCCATAACGTTGGCGAAGATGAGGGGGCAATGTTGCGTCGTTCCGTTCAAGGCTCAGCTTCTGGGCATTGGTAGTTTTATTATCTGGGGTCAATGAAGCCGGTACCGGAGTGACCATAGTTGGACCTTGACCTTTACGCTTTGAAATATCAGTTTTGAGTTGCGGAGATATTGCCAGCGGCTTTGTTGCAATTGACTTTTTGAAGTAGAAGTATTTGCAGCTGCTGATAAGTCATCTAAGGTGTGCATATTTTGCTTGTTAGTGGAAGATGATTTGCTTCCTTCCTTGACTATCGAGAAATTGTTGTCCTCGGGTAGTCTGCCACAAGGTTCAATTGAAGCACAAGCCTCATGAACTGATATCCGTGTCTTATGCCCTATATCCATTGTAACTCCATGAGCTGTTAACAAGGCATGCGGCTTGGAGATGAGTGATGCCTCGTTTACCCTCTTTTCCAGTCCTTTTGGCCGATGGGCCTCATCTTTTTCATTATTTCCTCCTCCAGTCGTCTCATAGAAAGGGGATGTGACATAGGGACTCGCTTGCTGCTGTGTAAGGATCTGGTTACAAGCTCGATTTACTTCAATGTGATCCTGCCATTTATCTAGCCACACGTGGCGAGCTCCTGCCATGGTTTGGCACTGAAAGTTTTTATCCTTTCTTTCTTTCTTTTTTTTTTCCAAGTCCGCTCGAACACAGGAGGGCAGAAGTTTTATGAGTGTTGAAATATTGATTGTCGAGTTCTTCTCGGTGTTTTATTGTTAATCATATGCGTTCAGTAAGGTAGAACGGTCCGAAAGCTGTGCACTAATGAGAGACGGAGTTTACCTTGGCGTTGCGTAGTTGACTTTGAAAGGCTTCCGGTGACGACTTGCGTACGTTTACATCCCTGTAGAGACAAATTGTATCGGTTAACATGGAATACCTGTGGCTGTGAGAAGGCCTTTCATGACAGCAGGAATGAGTTAGTGTTAGTAGGTATGATCAAGCGAGGGTCATAACATCAGCCTACCAGTCTGGATAGACAGACTCAAAAATTTGCAAAAGCGCAAGGTTGGTGAGGTTCAAGAAGAACAAGCATTTTGAATGGTTCCCTACCTTATGGTGAATTTTCCAAAGTTCCTTTCAAAAGTATATTCACCGTTACCCATGCATCATATGACAAGGATACCTACGGCCTAAGCACGTAGAAACAGCTACTGTGACTATAGATTGTCTGGCTGTTGAATTAAATCTGGACCACGTTAACTAGATGATAAGTCTTGAACGTCACAATTCTGGGGTGTTCATGGACAAGATATGCCTCAAATCAGTGAAATTGCATGATATGGGTTAAAAAAATGAGAGATACCGATTCAAATCAGCCTTCGAACCATACGAGACGTTTGTGTCGAAGTGAGAGACGAGCAACATTGAATTTGGGGTGGTACATCCTCCTTCTCTCGTTGCCAATACCAGTTTCGCATGATCGTTCTTCTCTAGAGTATATAGCTTTCTTCCTGTTACCTCACCTAACTAGAATTTCATGAACATCGAATGATATTACCAAGAACCGAAGTAAACAATCATTAGGGATGAATCTCAGATCAGATGTTATTGGAGGTCTAAATAGTGTACTGGTATGGCGATTCGCCCCGCCTAACGCAACTATTTGTGTGCCCCAATTCTCGACTGTTCAATTGCACCCACGCAATTGGTAATTGTTTTCTTTTTCTTTACAAAGCCTACCATATATAATAAAAATCCGTTTGGACTTGGGGGAAAAAAATCATGCAAGCATTGCGGTGAACATTTGAGTAGTCCCAAATACGAGCAAAGGGATGTGGTCTGGATCATCACGTGAAGTAGACGATGCCCGAAATCGTGGGTGGGGGAAACCAATCGACTGTCAAGAAATCTAAATCAGGTCCTTTTCAGGCATCCAGCGCACACAGTTCACAACCTTTCCGGCGATAACGAATCATCAAATATTTGGAATACTACTACCCTCAGACGTTTCCTGTGGCTGTGCAATTCAAATACCATCCCAGACCACTGAAAATATGTTGTCGATCCTCCGAAAAGCGCGGCTCAAGGATAAGGAGATGAGGATCCTGTTGCTGTAGGTGCAGCCCGGCAGGCTTAGGTTAAGAACCAGGCTAAAAGGACATTGCAGAGGGCTTGACAATGCAGGAAAGACGACAATTGTGAAGAGAATTATGAATGAGGATGTCAATACAGTCAGCCCAACTTTGGGCTTCATCATCAAAACTATAGACTACGAAGGGTAAAAAAAATTCACGGAGAACCAAATATTTGTATAGGCTGACAGGAATATAGATACAAGTTGAACATATGTAGGTTGATGCACATGCCTGGAGAGAACTGAAGCTCACAGAGAAAAGGGGACGTGGGAGGTCAGAAGACCTTGCGGTCATATTGGAGGAACTACTTTGAAAAGACAGATGCCCTAATCTGGGTGGTGGACGCGACAGATCGCCTAAGAATCGACGACTGCAGAGATGAACTCTTTGGCTTATTACAAGAAGAGGTGAGACTTTTCTTTTCT